AGCACCAGGAGTCTACAGAGTTCCGTGCAGCTGTGGAAGAGCATACATCGGCACCACAAAACGAAGCATAAACGAAGTTGCAGATTGGGACAAACCGAAAAATCAGCAGACATTCTGCACCAATCTGAAAGATACTACCAGAGACTCACCAGAGAGGCCATCGAAATATTTAAACACCAAAACAATCTTAACAGAAAAGAAGAAATTACGGCACTCAATCCAGATTGGAAGCGCGTTTTGCGGCAAACAGCGTGTGCGCCGAAGCGTTGGAACCCCCACCCATCCCCCACGCATGAGCACACACGGCTGGGCTGCATAAATACGACGGGGAATCCAGCAATTGATTCAGTCTTAGTCGGAAAGCATGGGAGATCACTTCGCCCACTGCCTCATCTGTTGGCATCTGCCTTTGATAATGTCCACCGCAGTTGTGGACGAAACGTGAGGAAGAATTCCTATAGACCACGGCTTCAAAGCCCGGAAAACATTCCTAAATGTAAGATTCAACATGTTTGTTTAACTGAGCAAAATTCCAGAAACCATTCCAACTGACCAAATCCAGCTTGGCGAATGAAGAAAACACTCACCGAATTGACTCTTTGAGTCCAGATAATTATCACACCCCCCCGGCCTACACATTCCATTGACGCAAATATCGAATCCAGATTTGCCGCACTTGGTGCCATCCAGAACTTTGTCTTTAAGAGCGTAATAAGCGGCCGAATGATGCGGCTTACAGTAGAGCCGGCAGTAGTCTTCCACGCGTCCCGGAGACCCTAAAATTGCGGTTTTCACCCATCATGAATTTTCCACTTTTACCCGCTAATTTCTTACCTAATCCATACTTGGGTATCCACTGAACGTCTTGCGTTAAATTGGGCAGACCTTTCGTGATGCCATTATATTGGGCGCACTGGATCTCCCTGAAATTGACATAACAACAAAGAGATTGTTTTTAAACGCATCACAAGGCTTACATCAGTTGCTTTGTTCAATTTTCTAGAGGTTGAATGAATGAGTATTTTTGAAAAAAATGATAGTGCTGATTTTACCTAAAGTCCCTTGCAGTTTCTTCGCAATCGTTTGTGTTGCAGGATTTATATTGAACGCTTTTTCCTGTGCAGTAATTTCCCCCATTTTCAGGAGTCGGTGAGTCGCAGTATCTTACAGATTTTTTTATTCCACCCCCACACGTTCTGCTGCATTCACCCCAGCTGCAATTGAGGAAAATATTTTACATTGTGGACCATTTAAGATGAACTTTGTCAATTTGCAACCGTTTCTCTTTGAACGCGCGTTGCCTGCATTTTCCTTTTTTCTGTTATAGTTTGCACCATAAAAGCCTGAAAAACTACCCTTTTTTTAGGCAAGATATTCGGCAATTAAAGTTCCAATTGCTGCCAACACTCGTCTATACTTTTATAATTTGTTCTTTAATTATGGCAACTTATCTTTGGGTTTTCGTCTGCCACCGTTCTTAACTTTATATCTTCATTAAAAAATGTGTGCACTTAATTTGATACCTACACCATAAAATTGATGATTTCCGAACGTTTAAGGCTTCACATACATTAATGATTTATTAGTATTTCTCTACTGAAAGAACAGTGGGAAACTTACGGTTGCCAATAACCCCAACCGCCATCAATGGGAGTAAACTGTCTTCGATCTTCCGCAATGCATTCTCTTTTGTAACACCAGCTGTAAAAAACGAAGACTTTTCATCAGCTTCTTCACGGGAAATAAAACATCCTATCAGCATCTAACATAGAATAAGTTTACCTGCGATGTCCACACTTAGTCCCTTCAGCCCACGGAGAAAACTGACTGATGCACCCTCCATTCAAATTTTTGCACCACAGATGTACACAGGGAGGCTGAAATAAATTTGGCAAATTAACCCCAACCTTGCCTATAAGAAAGTCATGGAAATGCTCACATCTAGAGCCATCGTGCATCGCGTGTGTCCAGGGCCGAATTCCAGCTCGCATTGTCGGTCCACCTCAAAAGTATCTCCAGGCAACATTTGCGTATAGTTGGCAAGAATCTCATTGTTCGATGGAGGATACAGCAAGCACTTTGATCTTGGGGAGCTGTAAAAGGAAAAACCCATTTAAGTTGCCATAATACAGCAAAAAAAAAACAAATAGAAAATCAGTATCGAGAACAACGAACGCATACCATCTGAGAAATTTCCGGAATTCTCTAATTCCAATCGAAATCCTAAGATGGTGCTAACCTAGATTTTCCTTGTGCGATACAAGGCAGCAATTAGTGAGTTCATAAATTTTATCTGCTCACTGTCAGAAAAATGCCTTTGGTTGCTGAAAAAAGAATAAGGTTGCACTCATTGCTAAAGCGTCGCCGTGCATTTAGAATAATTAGCAGAAATAAATAGCTACGATAATTGCGGCTAACTATTGTCGAGTCAACTGACAATGAATTACACTACAATTTATACGAGCTATTCTGGAAAAAAATAAGTAGATCAATATCAGCTAGAATTTATTGAATCGGCAACTATTATGCAAAAAAACAAGTAGTTCTAAAGTGTAATAAGAACAAAATAGACTGCAACTGCTTAAAAACCGCTCAAAATAGGCACTTTTTACCATCATTTCGTTTTACAGCACTCGAGCAGGTTTATCTAAGCGCCCGTTTAGTCTTTTAAACCGTACATTTTGCGCCCAAAACTTTCACATGCGATTTCCTGCCAATTTCCTCCTACCAACTGTGAAAGACCAGTTCGGTTCGACTCAAAAACCGAATACCTTTCAGCACAATCTTTAAGTTCGAAAGAACCGTGGAGTTCTTTTGCAAAACATTGATCCAACTTTCTCAATTTCACGTTCTTCCAAAGGTGATATAAGCCCACATACAAATGGCAGAAACAAACAACAACAAATAAACATTTTTTTATCTGAAAATAATTGGCGACTTACTCCAAAAAATCAGTAGCGTATTGTCTGGAACAGGGAGACCACATAAAAGGCTTCGAATCATTCTTGGTCGTTCTGCTCATAATATTATTGCTGTGGGGAGTTCGGGAGTTATGATGCGTGCACTTATTGTCGTCATCATGCACCATACTGAAAACAGGCTGCCATATTACAAAAGTGCTGCTAAAGAATCCAAAAAATATACCTCAATGTATGTCCGAATTCGTGTGCGATTGTATAAGATGTGGATAAACCTTTGTCTCTAACGATGGTGCATCCTGAAGGCCTACACATGGAGTCGACTTCAGCGACCCCCAGAGTGGCGCAGGATGTTTGATTTTTGCAAATTGTTCGTCTGGGAAAAAAATGGCATTTTTTGAACCAAAGTTTTTTTTTGATTTTTCACCGACAAACCTTGTTAAAAGAAGAGCTACGTCGTGGGCGTTATTCAAAATAAATCGCTGTTTCCATTCGCAAAAACGACGCAGCATGTCTGGAAGAAATTGCAATTTGCAATTTTTCATTCACAAAAATCAAAAGAGAGAATATTGAAAAATAAATTATTTAGTTGTTCCCAATTTGTCAAGGAACCAATAATTTACGGGAATGAAACTTTGTACAAATTGAAACAGAAGTATTATACATAAACATTAAATTCTCTACAAAGTGGATTAGAAAAAGTAAGTAAAACAAAAAATTCTTATTTTTTAATTAACTTTCAATAGAGTAAGATTTGTTTGGCTAGTTTCTGGCTACAAAGAACTTTAAAAAACTTTAATTTTTATTGTTCAAGTGATAAAACAAATTGAACGCTTTAATTTCAGATTTTTTAACTCATTTTTTTTCAATTAATCACTATTTACTGTACTTTAGTTTTCTAGGCAGTTTTTTTTTCTAAGAATTGCCTCAAACACAAATGCTTCTCGAAGATTTCGAAAACAAATTTGACAATAGTGATCAGAAGAAATCAATCATTTGAATACATTTGTTTGATACCGATGCCAATTCTTCAATTCTTCTTAGAGCGTTTCTTCTTATACCTGTTAATATCATCTATAATTGTTTTTTGATTCAAAATAATTTAAAATTTTTTAAATTAATTGTTTGTTCCCCCTTATTATATCTATACAGGGTGATTTACGGTCGATGACGTACTAGGCGTTTATGCAGAAGATGATGTACAAAAACTTCGATATTTTAAATGAAACACCCTGTATATTGGGTTGGCCACACGCTTTTTTTGGCCTTATATATTATATTTGCTTCATGATTCATCTACATATCTAAAGCGGTTTCCAAAATATTAAATTATAATAAAATATTTTCATCAAAACACAACTCCCTGAAATATCGTATGATAACGCGATCCCGCGCCATGAATTTTTCAAATTTTGGCTCTGGGCTAAGAAAATCCTGTGCTTGAACCTCACGTACACAAAATTTCGTTTAAATCATACAGGGTGTCTTGAAATTAGTGAGCTGCTGCTGACAAATTAAAACGATTCTAAATTTATTTCTTTAATAGGAACACCCTGTATAACACTCAAATTTCTAGGACAATTTCCTTTGAAATGATATATCATGTTCTTCTACCTAAAACATCATTTTTTTTTACTTTTTGCTTTATTTTCGTTTGTAAAATATGCAGCTAAAATGATGCAACCTAACTGCGCTTCGCCCCGTTTATAAAGCAGGAAAATTTGTGGGTTTTTTGGAAAAATGAAACCATCTAGACTCGCATTAAAACGAAGAAAACCACCCAAAAAACCAAATAAAAATTTGTAAAAACACTATTTACCTTGCGAAAGAGAATTTGAAAACTCATGCATCGGGCTACCCAGTATCTCGATATGAACCACACTAACATTAATGGCATTTCCAATGGAAGCTTCCTTGAATAAAAGAGACACCTGGAAAAAAACTGCTATAACAATCACGCTTATCACCAGAAAATTAAATCAGAACAACTTGCTAGCACCTACAAAGCAAACAAATTAATCAAAAGCTGGTTTCAGTGAACTTACGTGAGACATTAATATCAGTATGTACTTGGTGAGTTCCTCATGACTCTTATGGTACTCCAACATGGTGCTATCGGCAACCACCAGCACTTTTATAAAGTACTCATTACTCCGTTTCGTATATCCACTGCTCCAGTCCGTGTTCCTCGACCTTCGCAAATACTCCTGCGGAATATCTTCGTGCAGTTTGGGATCGTATAGGACTTCATCGTCAAAGGAGACGAATCGCTTCCGAATGACGTGATGTCGCTCAACGATCTCGGCGGGAAAATCATCATCAACAATCTTTGAAGAATCTGCAACGAAATTCGGTATGGAAATGATGCACCTGGGTGGCAATTTTGGGATTGCGAAGTGAAACCCGAAGCGAAAAACGGAACCGCAGTGTCATAAACAATTGCAACAAAGTACCAAAGCATGACTACTTGTTCAGGGCAGAAACGGGTACATTCCGTAAGTTGAATCTTAATGACCTGTTAACATGCCAACCCGTATATTTGTGGGCAATTGTTTGAGACGCAGTCAATGCGTTTTAATCGGGCGGTTCCTTTTAGAGGCAACTTCTACACCAATCGGATTTATCGACTGTTGAGCCAGTCGATTTTGATCTCAGTTTATTGAGAGGACAATTACCAAACGGAAAAGGATTTTTTCGATGGAACTGTTAAGATAGCCGACTCCTTAGAAAATTCCAATTTATGCGCAAAAATGTTTGTCCGAAATCTGAACAGATTATAGACGGTTTATTATTTGGCACGATTGTCGTCTCAAAATTTAAACTTCCAACCGACACGAAAAAATTTGCTGAAAATTTCACTCTTTATAGAAGAAAGTTCTTTCTTCAAGTTTTCAAAATTTCATTGTAAACCGACGCCAGATTGATTTTTGCGAAGTTTACAATTATGACCAAAAAATCGACTTTTTCCGCTGAATGTTAGAAACTTGTATCTTCCAAACGGCGCAAAACATCTGCCAGAAAATTTAATGTATTATAGAAGAAACTACAGTTTTCCAAACAGCAAAATTTGATTCTAAACCGATACAATCTCAAATTTATGCAAATTTTCAAAATCTACCCTGAACCCCGTTCCTCTACCATGTTTCGCATATGCGATACGTTTGTCGTACCAATAGCGCACGTTCCAAACGGGACCAAGAAGTTGCCTACAAAATTTCACACGATTTAGAATAAAGTCAGTCTCCGAATTGTGAAAATTCTATTCTCAAACAAACTCAGGTTTATTTTTGGTCAATTTTCAAAATCTGACTAGATTATAGACGATTTTCCAATTCGACAGATTTCCCGTTTCAAAATTCCAACGTCCAAACGGTACAAAGTAGCTGCTCGAAAATTTTACACGTTATAGAAAACTCTTCAGTATTTACATCTTCAAAATGTTTTTTTATAAACCGACGCCAGATTGAATTTTCGCAATTATGGCCAGAAAATATTTTTTTCCATATGGCACGCTTAATGACTGATGATGACTTAATGATTTTTTACTTCGAAATGGTTCCCAAGACCTTTTCGGAAATTTTACAGATTATAGAAGCAACCTCTCTTCAAATCCCTGAAACTCCATTCGAAACCAACATCAGCTCGAATTTCTTGAAAATTTCGCAAATTCCCGCAAATTTTTCGCAAATTTTTTTGCGCATAAATAACTTCCAAACGGGACCCAGCCGTTATCTGCAAATTTTTGTGCAATATAGAAGAGAGATGAGTCTCTGAATTCTGGGAATTTCATTGTAAAATAACGCCAGGTGGATTTTTGGCAAATTTTCAAAATCTGATTATAACGACTTACCATTTGGACACATTTGTTCTTTAAAAAGTCTAACATGTAAACTGGACCAAGCAGTTGCTTGAAATTTTTACCTTTTTAATTTTTTTTTAAGTTATAGAAGACTCACTATTTTTCGCCTCTAAACTTCTATCTAAAACTACACCAGATTGATTTGTTGGCAAACTTTCAAATTCTGGCCAGAAAATCGATTTTTTCCATTGGTCATGTTTGATAACTAAACATTCCAACTTCCGAACGAGACCAAACAGTGCTTTGAAAATATCGTAGATTATAGAAAAATCATCAGGATTTACACTGGAAAACATTCAGTTTTAATCAACGCCAGCTAAAAGTATTGCAAATTTTCAAAATTTACCCTGAAAATTTAATTTTTTCATTTACGAAATGTTTATTGTCTCAAAAGCCTAACTTCCAAACAAGATCAAGTAGCTGCTTGAAAGTTTTACAAGTTATAGAAAACTCTTCAGCCTTTGTATCTTCAGAATGTTCTTTATAAGCCGACACAAGATTGAATTTTGCACATTTTACAATTCCGGCCAGAAAATCGATTTTCCTCAATTGGAAAGGTTTGACGTCTGAAAATTCTAACTCCCAAACAAAACCCAAAAAATTTATTTTTATTTTAAATTTTCAAAAATCTGAGCAGATTATACAGCGTTTATCATTCCCAAAGAGAATAAGCAGCGGCTAGAAAAATGTATAAGTAATAGAAGAAACTGGAGTATTTAAGTGAATTCGAATTTTGACCAATTTTCAAAATCCACTCTTTTCTCGTTTTTCGTTTCTCATTTCCGACACGTTTATCGCCTTAAAACTGAACGTTCCAAACAGTACCAAGCAGCTGTGTGTACATTTCACAAGATGTAGAAGGAAGTTCAAGCTTCTAATTTTGAAAATATGGTTCTTAACTGTATATAAATGTAATTGCAAAAATGATGCAAAAAACTGCTTTTTTCTTGACCGTTCAGAGAAAGAAATTGGCTTTGTTTTGTATACTTCAAAGCTGCTTTAATTGAGCCAAAAAATTGTAAATTTAATAATTTGTTGAAAATTTTGCTATGAAGCGAAGAAACTATGCCATGAAGTAACGAAAATAAAACACATTTCTTTCTCTGAAAACCGACGTAAAAAACAGGTTGCTACCTCCTACTGTTTCTAAGAAATTAATTTTCCGAATACCCTCTGCGCGGGTTACTTTCCTCGAGAAAATTAAAATTTCTACCACGAAAAAAAAAAAACTGATTGGAAATGTAATGCAGAATTCAGAAATTATGGAGAAAATGTTGATGTGCCATTTAAGATTGCAAAGTTAAAAACTACTTTTATTGTTTGCCCCACTGTTTAGACTCAATGAAGATACGTCGTAGGTATTGATGAGGCCCTGTATATGTCAGCTCATAATGTGATTCAAATAGTGCGCAATTTTTAGTAAATTATTTATCGATCTTGTCGGCAACTGAAATAAACGACCTCTAATGAACAAGGTGCACACTTTTTGTCATTTAAATACATATTCCTTGTACTGTTTAAAAGCTCAATCTAATAAGGAAAAACCGTAAAATCCGGCGTTTCTTCACAGAGATGTGGCTTAAGCATCACCACTGTTAATGAGATCAGGCATTTATTTAATAGACCCCATAAAAACGCAAAAATAGGTCAATGGGCAGGTAAATTGTAGCTCCGATCCGATGTGATTGTGACTCCGATCTCCGATCTCTTCTGCTCAATAAAACAAATGTAAACAAGACTAATAAGACTTTATAGCAATTTAACAACTACAAATAGGCAATCTAGAATTCCAATTTAGTCGGCCGGTGGAAACTTATGATGGTGAATCTTGTGCGAGCCGAACGAATTTATTATACCAGGTGTTCAGCCTGCGGCGGCCAGATAACAAGCGAGACTATTTCCTAAATGCCATTGTACGGTTTCTTTAATTCCCGCACTTTTTTTCTCAACTAGCGCGACCTTTACGAGTTACTCACCTGTTCACCTTGTGTCCTCAAACAGGTACGGATCAAATTATTTAATCCAAATTACATCTTAAACGAATCAGTCAAATCAAACAAAAATTGCCGATTTATTCAACGGGCGGATGAAAATTGCTTTCGGGTAGTAACATCCAAGCAAACACTCTTGCTCTCAAATCGCTTTGCTTCCTGATAAAACTATGAAAAACCGCGCTTCTTTTCATTTTTTCGCATTTCTGGCATTGGCGCAAGAGGAAAATCTAAGTTTGAAACTGCAAATCAAATTGTTCAAAATATTTTAGAAGCAAAAAACTGTATCAGCAGATGCCGACAAACAGCAATAATTTCACGCATTGAATGAACAGAAGAAACAAACGTTTGATACGGCACTGTTGCCTGCATATAATACACACATTAAACAGAGACATGTTGTGAAAGATTGTTAATTATTGTGAATTCATCTGTCACCGAAATTTTGTGAAATAAACCAATGAAATTATCGATGAATGTATCGAACGGATTAATTGAGTAGAAACGGCAGCGGACATGTGGGGCCACATTTTTAAACAGGCGTGTCAGTTGCATTATTTAAACATTTTATTTATAATGTTAATTGATTTTTTAAGAGCTTTGTTGGATTTTTATCCAATTAAATTCTAAAAGATACTTATGGTAAGCCCTCAGATATCCAGATATCTGTAAATCAACCAGGGTAGTTCTGAATATTCCAAAAAGCTGCAGAGAAAAGCCGACAAAATGTGTATCAATTTCATATGCAATCAATCGTTTTTTAACTTCATTTTTTAAATAATAGTTTAGTTTTTACTTGCTTTATTACATCTGTTTTTAAAGCTCATGATTAAATGCACTATTTATTAGTTAAAATTGCATTCTATACTGTACGAAGAATTACTTCACTAGAGGTGCGGTGAACCTTAAACTTCAAATATCTCGAGAATCAATGCTTCTAGAGACTTTCTTCAAGAGGACGTTTCTTCACAAAACGGGTAAGCAATCGCAAATCTACTTGTAAATGATTGTTATACTGGGCGATAAAAAAATATGCCAGTTTAAGTAGGATTCGCATATCTGTGGCAGCGCCCTGTTCAATGTGCGTAGAAAATGTTGATGTGGCGAAATGTTGCGCCCTCAAAACTTCCCTGACACGAGATTTTGCGCAAACAGTAGAATTACAAAAAAATATTTTTTTTTGTTGTCTGTTGTCCCCTATTGGCTGAGATAAATCAGAACCATCATGTTTCCACCTCAGGAATCTGAGGCAGGATTTCGTACAGACATTTTACAGACACGCTGTATAAGCAATTTTTTTATCCCAAGCACAGAAACTTGTAAAAAGTTTTGGGGATTCCAWAATTGATTGATTTTTTAAATAAAGCTACTTTTTCGGTATTTTGTCCAGACTGACAAAAAAAAATGTGGTCAAAAATGTATCCGATTCAGACCTTTGGAATTTKGTCGAATTTAAATTTMTTTTYTTTTAAAAAAAGGTTCTCATAAAAAGAACTGCTCWGGTTAAATRCCCAATATCGTCTGAAGGATCCTATTCCGATTTTAAAATTCCCTCCGAAACAGTTTTGCCAAAAATACCACAAAACTAGATTTAAAAAWTCCTAGACACGCMACTGAATTGAGGATGTCAATCGTGATCGAAAAATGTCCAGGAATTMATGTCGAGACGAAATCTGAAGAGAACTTTCAGACAGTGTCGAYCCAAAAAACCCGACACAACTCGCACATTATTTGGACTCGAATGTGTTTGTTGTGGTTTCAATGCAACAAAACTTCCTMAACAYTTTGATTAGCATTTTATTGTGCTTCCACCAGCGTCGTGTCTAAAAGGATTGTCACATCTTCGAAATTCAYTRGATTCGAATRGATTATTTGTGAAAAAAGCGACTCATCCTTAATAATGCACGACTAAATCCTCAATATTGTATACCTACTATAAAAACAGCATTATTTCTCAGCTCAAGAAACCGACCCTTACATTAATATTTTCATTCTGCCATCTCGTAGGAGGCACAATACGAAGCAAACATCCATAAACGAAGATGTTTCTAAACCAGAAATTTATGAGGTAAAATTGTAGGGCAAATCTCTAGCTAACCATGAAAATAACAATCGAGGTTTTATCGACTAGCTGAAGCATCTCTTCGCTTGAACCCAAACCGATTATGCCTTCCATCATTTTCACTGATAGTCGATTTTACTGAAGGCATCAGACACAGAATTTTCCCATAAATTTTCTTGCCATAATAAACGTTTTCCGTTCGCATGTTCCTTCTGAGAATAAACAGCCGTTTCTGGGTCATGAAAACAGCACATCTCATTTACTCAATGGCCGAGCCTAGCAATTAAAAAACTCATAAAAATTGACGGTGAATTGATAACTTATGCATTCAAGAGCTACATAATCACGCATTGATCATCCAGGTGTGTTAATGTTGAATGCAAATAAAAACTGACTACCTAAACAATGGCTGGAAATAAGGGTGTTAATCTGTAAAGGAAAATGTCAACACCTTATTGGGACTTGCTCAATCTCAAATTTTCAATCAGTATATCAATGGTAATTTGAAATAATTTAATTTGGTTGCTTAAAGTACATTATGAAGACATATTCATTACCTACACTAACTAAATACAGGTGTTCAACTAATACATGTGGGCAGATGAGTGTGATAATCCATTCAATGTATTATCATACAACAGAATTTATGAACATGCAAGTAGGAAAATTGGCTTGTGCAAGAACGCCATTTGGTGGACTGGAGAAAGGAGATTTCATTTCTACTAAGACGAACCATGAAGGTTTCATGCTAATTCGGTTAGATTTAAATAAATGCATTGCAATACACCATTTTTCCGTTTAATTTATCAACATCAACTGAGAAATCGAGGGATATTTCAAATTTCCGTCTAAGGTTTTTTTATTGTCTTCTTCTAGTTCTAGAAAATGCTACTTTCGAGTTTTTTGTTTCGCTTCTTTTTCCTTTGAGTTTTCCTACTGCGAAACGGTTTCTAAAAAAATGCAACCAGCAACTGTTTTACAGTTGGTGACTGTTCAAACTCTATTCAACTGAATACATTCTTCCAATTTTGTGCATTGTCGTCTTTTGATTTTCTATGTTCACATTACTGTCTGCTTCTTGTCGTTTATTTTCCTGTTTACTCTATAGATTTGTCTACTGCGTTAGATTATTGGCTTTTTTCACAAATTTCAATATTTCAATTGAATTTTTCTCTATGTAACTATACTATAACTATATGAGCAGTATTTTCTAATTTTTCACTTTCGGACTTTCCATATTTTCTTGCAGTTTTTTTAAATACTTGTGTCCGTAGATGTTTCGGTAATTCATGTTTTCATTTCTATAATTATTTTCAGCTTATTTCCCGTTTTTATTTATCTCAGTGCCTCTCTTGACTGTTGGCCCAATTATCATTCTAGTTTCAATTGCATTCTCTCTTCCAAAGCGTAGTCTTTTCTATAAACCTCGTTTGCACTTTTTACTTCTCTTGTATGTCTCTGCTTAACAGGTGTATTTGCAGTCACCTTTACACACTGATTACACACGTAAAATAGGCATTCAATAGCATAATAAAATTGAAAAATTGCATTAAGAGAATTGTTGACAAACAACACAATTAACACACTTGAAGACATGTTTTAGTCGTAGCACAACCAGGCAAAGTCGCTTTCTACAATTAGTTGCATGGTAAAACTGTGACAAATATATTTTTCTTTTGGTTCGCATAATCTTTGAATAGATTGAGATTTGTTATTGTCAATGATTAAAATAGTAAAAAACAACAAACAGTTGCAAAAAAGTTAAATAAAATTGTATCAGACGCATATACTATTATGACTAAAAGCTGGAAGGAAGAATAAAAAATAACTAACAAACAAGTATGGGAAATGGACAAAATCGTGCTTCAATCTGCAATTGAAAACAGCGAAAAAATAATGACAAAAAAACGGTTTTAGTGTATCAATTCAATAAATATTTCATACATTTTAAAATAAATCCTGGTGCAAAAATCCTCCAAACTCTCGAAAAAATAAAGCTAAATATATTGTCATAATATATAACATTATTACTAAAAGCTGGAAGGGAGAATGAAAAATAACCAACAAACAAGTATAGAAAATTACCAAAAAACATTGCAGGTATGGGAAATGGATGAAATCATGCATACATATGCAACAGCAATAGTGTAAAAAAATTAATGAAAAAACGTTATTAACGCCTCATTTAAATAATGATTTGATACATTTTAGCCTGGTGCAAAATTGCTCCAAACCTTGATGATTGATGCTCTTGAAACATACAGGGAGTTTCAAAAAATTCCAGCTAACGACAGTGAGCTTAAATTTGCTTTTGATAATATTGAAATTGATGTCTGCTTAAAATTCCGGATATTTCAAATTAAAATTCCGGATATTTCAAATTAATTAATTGAATTAAAGGTAAAACTGGGATGGTACCCAATCTTCAACACCATGCCAATCAATCTATTCTTGAGTGAAATGCCACTCAAAAGCTCGCACCATCCTGACGGTTTCATGCAATTTTTTCCATTGGAAAAACGTGTGTCTATCGATACTAATCGCATTACAACGTGAAGTACCTTGACTGGTCGGAATGGAGCCGAAGAACCTGACTAGACTGCACGGCGCTCGAACCAAGTTTAAAGTTCATTTTGAATGAAGAGGTTTGTACCAGTGGTACTCATGTGTAACTGTGCTTGTGGCATTGGCAAATTATTTTACTTTTGTCTGAATTTTTCATTAATTTCATGATTTTTCACCTTTAGTGTGAAGCTTTGGGCAATTTATTAGGGTTGGCTAAAAGCACAGTAGCAATTGCCTTCTAAATTCATCATCAACCAAATTTGAACCATTTCGAAGTTATCAATAGTACAAATCAAAGTACCTACTTCGCTTCAAAAACTGGCCAACTAGATTGAAGTTTTATAGTTGACCACTGGTGAAACTCGCTGTATATAAAACCGGCTGCATGGAATGCATTGATTTGATCACGGATTATTGGAAAGCCAAGAACGCCTTCTTCTAGCCATTGTCGATTATCCTCCAGCCATTAAATTTGATTTCTAGCATGCCAACTTACCATTTTCAGTCTTAACTTGCGCTTCAAGCGATCCTTCGAATGCCAGTATGTCGTTGCTATCTTCCAAAGCGTGCGGCAGAATCTTGATTCTATGTAGAATGGTACCCAAAGTTCCGCTGGTGAAATTCTCCGCGGGTTCGATGTAATAGTTGGCCGTAGAGGATCTGATGTAACCAGTCTGAAATAATTAAACAAAAGAAGAAAAAAAAAACGCTGTTAATATCTGCCTTTTGTAATTAAGCTGCATACTTTAACAGGTAGTTTCAACGTGTAACATTGGCCAATACAAGTTTCGATCTGATAACATTTTTGCTTTCTATCTGCAGGCTAAGCCTTCCTTTTTACTCTTCCTCGAAATAAAGTAGCCTTGCTTTGAGAATACATGGTAAGTTTGTAGATTTTTTTTATTGATTCAGAGTTCCTGCTTTGATTCATATCTCTTTGCCACGAAAACAATATATTAGCAAATAAATCGGCTGTTTGCCCAAAGCAGGGCAGGATTTTGGTTGCATGTTGCCAGCCTGCATATATTGGAAGAGTTTGGTTGCAATTTATCATTCCCCCAGGGCAGGCACATGCATGTCCAGATAAATACCCGGGCAATTATTTGCAATACTGATTTGATCCTGGAAGTGTTTTAAAGTTTTGCAGGTTTCACCTTTTATTCAAGCCCCAACATTTCTTGTCCTTAATTTTATTGATTTTCCAAAAATAAGCATTGAAACTCCAAACTCAATTGGAAAATCCCAGAGATTTTTAAATGTTCCAAAAAAATGAAAAGTTTAGAGTTCTTCAAACCGCAAACTCTTGTCGACAATTTCGTCCGCTGGAAAAATCCCAGAAGATTTTAGTTGTTTTTTAGTCGGCAAGAAACGCAGCACTATAATTGAGCTATTGACATGCTCATCAGAAATTAACTTCTCTTTCTTCAGATGAGCTTGCGACGTAGGAAAAAAATAGCAAAATCGTTAAATCTTCAATCACGAATATCATAACTTCGATCTTGATAACCTTTTATCTGATGGCAATTTACAACGCCGCTTAAACCAGTATGATAACTCAATTATGTCTATTGATTAGTTCAGGTTTTTTCCTCGTCCCGATCGTATCTTGATTGTTGTAGGAAATCGACATTTTTATTTTGAAAATGGTTTTCGTTTGTTAATTGCTAAAGTTAATGCATCCTATCAATCCCTGTCGCAGATTTATTAATTAAGTCCACTTTCATCGGTGGAAATAAAAGAAAATACGGACAAAAGAAGTGAAAGAGTTACGAATAAAGATAATTTTATCGTAAATTATACAGGGTAAAGAAGGGAGAAATGGATAGGTAAAAAGTCCACTGAGGGCAGGAACTCCATTCGTATTTCTCAATGAGTGTTAAATTATTCTCTTTCTTGCACAGGATTTTTATCCATTTACGTTCTTTCTTCAATTAATAGAGTAGAAAAATCGTTGCCTTTTGATTTTGTCCTCATTAATCTACTTTTTACTTCTATGGTTTTTGAGCTCAAAGCATTTGAATGTATGATGTGACAATAAAGAGAATTTAGTCGATGCAAGTTTTAATGGCTCAATAACCGCTTAAAATGGATCAAAATGGATTGGAAGTTTAGGACTTCAAGAACATCACCGATTTTGCAGCCACAAGAACCGTGTTTCGTTCTGTTCCAAGGCTCGGCCCATTTTCGACATAAATTTGTTGACTTCATTGAAAAATTTAGTAATTTTGCAAACACTTGATGCGGAATTTGTGAGATTGCAGAGAGAAACAACTAGTTAAGGTAAAATATTGCTTTTGCCAAGAAGAAGCATCATTTCCATCATTGTTCTATATTTTATTATTTAAAAATTTCTTTTTAAGGTTTCTGTTAATATTCCTGCACGAAAATATATAAATGTTAAATATAATTAAAGTACATTTTGGAAAATTATGGAAAATATAAAAAATACAAACAACACGTCAATTGCAAGAAATCGACTATATTTAAATAACTATGTATGTGCGTGCACAGCTCCAAAATTTAAAAGTGTTTTTCATACAAAAACGGCCCCAGAAAGAGTGAAAAAATATAAATAAACTGTTGTCTTTTTAGGTGTAAAAATTACCGTTGCTTTATGTAAGCTCTACCATCAACTTTGAACTTTTGAGCTAATTTGGAAACCTGGTAGTTTCCACATTGTACAGAAATTTAACGCATATCCTAAATCCAAAAGTTTGGGAATCTTTTGACCGTACCTTATTCATATCATGAAAACTTGAAAATCACTAATCCAACGCTCAGTAAACTCAAATATTAAGTTATATTAAGTTAAGTTATTAAGTTAGTAATTGACGAAGCACAGAGAATGACAAAATAAACAGAGCTGTTCGCACAGCCTTTTTACCCGAAACTTTTGTCGTAAATAAAAAAAGTCGTAAAAAATAAATATTCTCGAATGACTCTGGATGAACAGACGTTTAAACACTATTCAAAAGACATGAAAGTATAACAGAGCCATAAGAAAGCGTAAGAAAACATGACAGAATTTCAACATCCGGAAGAATATGTTTATTTCAGTTTTTCATTATTTTATTACTTGAATTTTGGGCAAGAATAGAGCTATGAGTCGATTAAAAAACCATTCAAATCTGATCATCGACTGAGAAAATATTCACAGTGCAATTTAAACGATGCGATAAATTTGCAAATTTTTCGTAATCGCTGGGAGTAAAATCTGGATAGCCGGATGACCGTCTAGTGCATGGAAACCTGGCTTTGAACAGATTTCAAAGGAAATTGTCTGAAATTTCCAACTAAGTGCTACGCGTGTTTGACGAATAAATAAATTTCCGATAACTATCCAGATCCAGGTCTACTCTAAAATTAGAACCAGACCAGTATGTTGATCTTGTGTGAATCACTACGAAACATGGACGAGGTTAATGATATATGAGCGTTTACCATTGAAATGTTCCAAACACAGCTGGACTTATCGGGAATTATTCGGCTTTAGGCAGGTTTATAGGTCAGATAAAGTAAGCAGAATTTCCCGTTAAAAGCCCAGCATTAACATGGATGTGGATGCGTATTTTTTCCAACTTCACTGGCACACTGATTATTCGCGCAATTTAATGTAAACTTTCAGTTGCGTACATCATAAAACTAGCGCTGCTATAAAATATAAAATAGCTCATAACTTTTAATTTTTATAAGGTCAAGTGCTTTGACTGGTTCTCTTTGACGATCACATAGTGTTCCCTTTGGTTAAAACATTTTTTTCATTATAACTTTTTTTTAAAACCATGCAAAAGCTTCCAGATTGAAAGACAATGAGCTGCATTTACGACGTTTATGGGGTTTGAAGTAGATGTGCAATAAAATAAACATAATGAGTGAAGTGGCTTAGTCTTGCCACACACACACACAGGCTCCTTCACTGATTGTTTCGCAACAATTATCGTCATTAATAAGAACGTGAAAAAGCAGCAAATTTTTCTCTCGAAAAAAGCCACACAATGACCACTTTCACTCGAAATGCAATGAGATAACAAAGCACACCTTTCAGTTTTTTGTTCTGCACCATATGTGGCAACCTCTTTGGCCAAAAACGGATTTCAACGAAATCGCATATTGACGAGTTCATTGGTATTCCTTGTACAAGCTTATCATTCAGAAAGTTGTCACGTACAATGTCATTTCTGTATCTACGAGATGGAAAAAAGCGGTTTACCGAATTTGTGAAGGTTGAACAGGAAAATCACAAGCTCTTGTACCAGTTAAGGCCTCCGGCCTGGTGGAAAAGAGCATGGCAAATGCGATTCCAACTGGACATGCCACCCATATCTATATCTTGGCCAGTGGGGCATAGAATTCCTTGGCTGGATAATGGCAATCACATCTGGACTAAAAATAGCGTAGCTATCCAGAGCCAGGCAACAGGGCAACGAAAAAATATTGGCAATGATGGCCAAGAAATTCAAGGCCGCCATAAAAATTCGCCATCTGGTCTGCAAATCCAAATCCCAGTTGTGCCAGTTGATCTTTTAATTTATAAACTTATAAACCAAATCGCCAGACTTCAAACGGCCGTTAATTTTTTTTCGTATCCACATCAGTCAGATCGCTGGGCCGAGATTAATGCACTCAGTGAATCCTAATAACACCTGTTACCGATCAAAAACTTAAAAAATTAAATAAGCTTTGCCTCAATGTTGATTTTGACTGAAAGCAACCTGGTTTGCTTGGGTGTTCTACAAACGAAAAAACTATTTCTTTTGCATTTTGTCAAATTCACCCATGTTAAGGTCGCTCCAAACGGTCGGACACAATAAATAAATTTTTGGCTTAAATGCATAGTACAATAACAATCAGGACAGGTCCGAGTTGCGTGTGTAAGTATGCGGAATTATTTTTCAACAAGTTGTCTGGTGGTTGCACGTATTTATAACTGTCTATTTAGTCTCATTTCGATCTTGTTGCCGTTTATTACTGCCGGAACTTCGGGATCTATTTTAAGGCAAAAATTCTAATTTTAAATCCTTCTTCTTCAAATTACCAATTGATTACACTACATGTTTAACCGATGCAAGGACGCGTCAACATTCCAGCGGCAATTAATTCTCGGAAAAATTAATTAATTATCGTGAAATTGACGGCAAATTATCGATCGGTTTGCGTGGGGCACCTTAGAACAGATAAAGTTTCCGAAATTTATTAAAATATGAAAATCGAATTTTTGGTCATCCCACGAATGGTCGGCCTTAAAAAAAACCAATTTGTAAATGGATTTTTAGCGCAATTAGTGACTGCTGTCGCTGCATCGACTGCCATTTATCATGCAAAAATAAGGCGATTGTGTGGGTTCTTTTTTGGAAAAAATTGATATTAGATACTGACTTAATGATGATAGATTACCAAACTATCGTGTTACCTCCGCACGTTTCTGTAATGATGTTAAAATCCGGTAGCGTAGAACGTTTTAAGAAGATTATGTGTTTTTAATACGATTTTTTTTTGGAACCAAGAGGACTCAGCCATGTAATATTTAATTAATTATGTTATAAAAAATCATACAGTTTTTTACTTTAAACGTGTGTTGATATAAAGAGAAAAATAAAGTCAAGTCAATTGAACTTTGCGTTCAACTACATGGGTTTCATTCCCATAAGTTTTTCTAGTTTGCAACTGTAACTTC